TTTGGTTATCCTGTCATAGGATGGTGGATGTGTGCCTTTGGAAGGAAGTTGGAATGCCTTTATTCCGAGGTTTATACAACTACATAATCACAGTGGAGCCTTTTGGGAACAAAATCTGTGCATGCTGATGCTTAATGGATAAAAGGCAGAAGATCCCTTAACCATGGACTGCCCATTCGGTGGGGTAGTGGTGTATGTTCCACAGATAGTTGCTTTTTGAAAGGTTTTTATGATTACTGAATCGTTGTAAAGGAATAAATATACTTCATGTGCAGAGTAATGACTTTCTGTATGTTGGATTAGCCTTCAGTGGATGGTTTCCATCCAACACTGATTTTAAAGTAGTGGCTTTTCCACACTGGCAACATCTCAGCTTCACAAAGTTTCATAAAGGACCTAAGTCCTGAACTCCAGTGGAGTTTACTGTAATTGTAAAATACGGTAGTGTAGTTTAATGTATGAACTTCATGCTCATTTTCTCTCTAGTACTTAATGGCTGGCCCAACTCGCCTCTCCCTGTGAAAAGAAATTCTCTTCAGCAAAGTTTGGGTATATGGGCACAGAGAATGCCAGCTTCAGTTTTACTTGCATGGAGACATTGCTGGGTACACTGACTTAAATAATATTTGGTCTGTAAGCACTAATTTAAATGACAGCAGAAACAATGAATACTTATGGTTTAAAAGGTGGTCAAATGTGTGATTAGCTTATGATGTACAAGAAGAAGAGTAATTAAAATAATAATAATGGCATTAAATTACACATTGTGTAGAAGGTTTAGGTTTTAATTAGACTAAGCACCCATGCACCCTTTTCAGTTTTTTTTTCCTATTCACATAGCCAGAACATAATTCATTTTGACATCTCTGACTGTGGTAACTACTAAACCAATTTGTTTCACCTCATCTTTTCTATTCAGGACATTTTTCTAAGGAATGTTTTGGTGCATCTTTGGATGTAGGGTGGCTGAAAGCCTAACTGAAACCTGAAAATTAATTGAATGATTTAGATTCTTTTTACTCTGGTAACGTAGATATACACTTTGCTGAGTGGCAGCTCTGTAGGTAGGGAACACGAACTCAAATTATTTTTCCTTTCAAGTGACATTGGACAAGCTGTTGTGAAATAATCAATTTCTGAGAAAATTGAAGTATTTTTTCCTATTTTGCAACTCCATTTTCAGTATGGATGTGTGTCTATCCAACTGATTTGCAGCCTTTTAGTGAAAATCACATCCAGTCAGAAACAAATGGACTATTGGTGATAGAAAATGATTTAATCTCATTTTTTTCAGGCTTGTTTAGGATGGTTTGATCCAGAAGATGTTTGAAAGTTTGTATTTAATCTTCACATCAGTACTTTCATGACTCATGGGAGACTGGGGATAGCAGGCAGGGGCTGGGAGCAGCTGCAACCCCTTCTGTTTCTTGGAAACCAAATGGATGAAATAAGGAATTCTCAGCCCAGTTGTCCTGGGAAATCCAAATGTCTCTTCCTTGCTGCTGTAATCTGTCAAGGCAGGGAATTTGTCATTCTAACTGACATAAATTCTGAGATGATGAATTTGAGTCTTTTGTTTTTCTGGCATAAAAAAAGGGATGATGGGAAAAGATAAGGAGTGAGAACAGATTTTGATTTGTTTGCACTTTGAAATATATGGATTTGGGCTTTATGCTTCCCATAACAGAATGCTATGAAAAGCACTGAAGGAGTTTTTCCCTGAATATTTTCCCTGTTTGGTTCGTCTGGGCTGATTGCACCCAAATGACCCAATACTTTTGGTGGTCAGAACTACTTCCAGATTGCTTTGTAAACTTTAATACCATCTGCTTATCAGCTCTCAAAATGGAGGGAGAAGAGTAGATTATTATATACCACAAGTATTTGCTGACAATCCTTGATATTTAACCTTGCTCAGGCCACCAGAACAGTCTTAAAATATGAGGAATAACCAACTTTCATATTGTTTAATGAAATTTTAGAAGCTATATTGTTTTGAATTTGCTTTTGCTTGATCTCTTCATGCTGGGCATCCTTATTGCTGAGGTACTTCCAGTTACGACTTTTCCATGCTACCATCTGATTTTTTGTGTGTGCATTTGTGTTTTTCACAGCCCGTTTCCAGGGCAGTTTGATTTGTGATAAGGGATATGTACTAATTAAAACACTATTTGAAGGGCTGGGAGAAAGCACCAGCATGTAGATACATGTGAGTCACCATGTAAGGTCTACATGATCAGTTTTATTAGAGGATGCCATCTCACTAATTTGTTGTTCAACTAAAACAAAGCTATTTGAGTGTAGTTGGGCTTTGTATTTAGAAAGCAGTAACCTTATTTCATAATCACAGGACAAAACCCATAACCAATAACATGTATTTAATTCTGCCATTCATCAGACCTCTTACGTGCCCTAAAAGGAACACAAAATCTAGTGGTATTAAATAGCACCTCTAATGAAACAGTATATTGAAATGCAGTCATGTCACTGATAAATTTTAACAAATTTTAATATATGTTAATGAGTAAGAAGTTTTTTTAAAAGAAAAAGTGGATGTATCTAGCCAGCATTACTGTAGGACTTCACCTCAAATGTAAAATATTCTATTAAAGAGGTGTGATAATATTTAACATCACTGCTGTCATCTTGAGTGTCTTTGCTACTGATTTCATAGAATATGTTAAAATTACTATCCTTAGAATCACTATTCTTATTTTCTATGACTTGAGATCTTTAATTTTAGCATAAATGTTTCAGGATTGTATTGTAGTTGTTGCCTACTTCCATAGCAGCCTCTTAAAGAAATCTTTATTATGCTATTTTACTCTTTTTCTCTGCTTTTCCCACTCTGGTTTTGTCTTTATCTACACACTTGGCAACTATATTTCTGAATCGAGATTGGCATTGTCAAAATGTGGAGGTCTTATAATGTCCATGATCGCCAGCCATTTCATCAGGTTTTGGAGAGGGAACAGCTTAGCAACAGTTTGGCAGTCTTTTTCAATCACAAAATTGCACATAATTCTTCAAGCTGACCTTCATTTACGAGGTTGCTAGTTCTGATTGATGCATGCAGAATATGATTTTTTTGGTTCTTTAAGTCTTGGGGTTTCAGGAAGATGGGACATATGGGAAAGTTGGCTCAGTAACTGCTTGGTTGAAAGTGTACTTTGAGCCCATTAGCACCTATTATACCTACTAAGAAACTTTTTACCTTTTTTTCTGGCTTAGATAACACCAGTCAAACTACATTTCAGATACTTTTGCTATTTTCCATTGTCAGTGGGACAAAGCTTCCTTTGCTGTATGGTCTTGAAGGCTGTATGTTTAGATTTTCGTGCTGGCAAATATCACGAGCATGTACTTTGTGCAATATTTCACCTTTCAAAGACAGAATGAAGTCACGGTGTTTAGAATTTTTAATCTAATTCTTAGCTATCTTGCACCCTAATCAAACACATAACACAAAAGGTCAATAGATTTTTGCCTCCAGTTAACTCTGAGGTCACTGTATACATGGAACTAAGGAATGAAAATTATTTCATGATCAAGGAAAATCACTTAGCTTATAAATTTTTAATGAAAGGCCATTAATAAAGCTACACATCAAATTAAGTGTCTTCTACATTCACTACTGTGAAACTTTTTACAGCCCAGAAATTAACTTAAGCAGCATTTAAAATGTGTCAGGGGTTTGGGTTTTTTTCAGTAAGAAAATGAGCGCAGACATATTTTTCCTCCTACAGATCTTCTGCTTAGCAAGATGAGTGATTGAAACATATTGTCTGTTCTGTGTGCATATTATAAACTATGCAAAATACTTTGGTCGGGATTTTGCCAAAAGGCTACTCAGAAGTATATTTTAATCATGTGCCTTTCTTTTTTTATTTGAACTTGAAACCCACAGCTTTTTCTTGGGTTCTGCTAAAGTAGAATAATTTTCTGTACAGCCCACTTTTCTGGTTTTCCAGCCCACTCTGGAAGAGATTTGATTATTGCAGTGCTTTGGTTGTGAACAAAAAATCATCAAGCAGCTTACTGCTGCAGAATGGAGTCACTCCCACCTCTTTGGTGATGGCAGCCCTCAAACATGTTCTGCTTTCTAAAAAGTACCTGTTTCTACTCAGGTTTTTTGTCTTTATCCATGAGTCTTCTACAGTTTTGGTCTTGACTCTATGAGAAATCAACCATTTGTTCTTGTCCTCACCATGACAACCAAAATGGGATGGCATTGCCAAAATGACTTACTCTACTACTTCTTGCCTGGTGTGATGACAGATTGTCCTACAGCAAGATCTTTAGCTGTGAAAGTTTCCTGGTTGCTCTGACAAAACAGTGACAGCCTTTCCATTAGGATGTGGAACCACAGTCAGTTTTTGTCCTCAAGTGTTTATTTGAAAAAGATAGACAAAACGGGGCAGGACAGTTCATTTGAAGGAATGTCCTTTTTATTTATTTTCTTTTTTTGAAAAGGGTAAATACCTCTTAATTTTGGACTGCACTGCACAAGAGAATAACCAAACTAAATCAATGGCAAGAGACTGGGATCCTGGTACCAAAGCCTTGCTCTCCTTTAACAGTGGAGAGTGAGAGATAACATGCAGAAACCACCTAGAGAGGAATTTATACAATTACCAAAAAATTTTTTTTCTTGGGTTGTCACTTTCTCATGCACTTATCAAGCCATAGTTGGCTTTTGGGGTTTTGTGTGTTGTTTTTGATTTGGGGAGTGTTGGTTTGTTTGGTTGTTTTGTTAACAACAAGGCAAATGAATTTGATTCTAAGTCAGCAGGAACACTTGTTGCACTTGAAGTCTTTGTACTTAGAAATGTTAAGCTGTTCAGGCTAATGCCTGCACGGGTGAGGGAAGGATAGGGGGCAGGTCTGCTATGCAATATTTTTATTTATATTTTCTTTTTAAAAAAGATAATTGATATAGAAGCAGTTATTTTTAAGGAACTCTCTGCTAGCAGATAGCTGACTTCTGTGTTGCGTTGCAGCTGCACTCTGAGTGTTACCCTGGAGCAGGCCATCATCCTGGCTCGGAGCCACGGGCTACCTCCTCGCTACATCATGCAAGCTACGGACGTCATGCGCAAGCAGGTAGGATGCTCGCTGTGGGTGAGATCTGCAAGTTTCCAAACAAGACATGTTACCATCTAAAAAGAATGGCTTGGACAAGCATTTTTTAACCTCCATCGTAATGTTGTATAATATCTATGTGAGTTTTGTTTTTTAATCTCTTCCTTTATTGTTGACTGAAAGATGTTGTGTTATTTTTTTTGATACAGACACAGGCCATTTTTAACTAGATTCTTGCTTTCTGTGTGTTAATGGATCGTAATTTTTACAGGGTTGTGATTTTACTGAAAGCTTTTTGTGTAGTCACTGCTGTGGTATCACCTTACATCAGAATACTCTGTTGAGTAAGACAGTCTTTATTTTAAAATATATGTGATGCATAAAAATAATTTAAGATTATTAACTGTTGTTAATAAAAAGTGACTCATGTACTGAATTAAGGGGAAGTGTAGAAGAGAAGGGAAAAAAAAATACTATTGTTTTTAACTTCTCAGGCAAGATCCCTGAGGACAATGTGTTTATTTCAAAATAATATTTTTCACTCTTTGGTCAAAATAGAATATTAGGATTTAGGGGCTGTTGTGGATAGATAACCACTGCACCATACCTTGGTGCTAAGGGATGCTAAAAAATACTGGATTAAAAAACAATATCAACTGAAAATGGGGGATACACTCTACTGTATTAGCACAATTTTTTTTTTCTAGAACATCTTGTTATCAGAAAATACTTTCAAAAGGATGTATCTTGGAAGGAATTCAAAGGAGGAGCACAAATGGTCCAGAGGTTGCTAGACAAGGCTTATGAAGTGAAGATTAAAGAGCTAAACCTATTCAGTTGATCAAAGAGAGGAGGAGTGGAGCTTAATTACCCTGTGTGCCTATGGAACATATATCCTAGCCTGTGATAGCTTTCAATCCTATGAGAGAATCATAGACAAGATACAAGATGCACTCAATCTTGAAGTGAAAAAAAAAATGTTATAACAATTAATCACAGATAAGACAAGATAAAAAATTTCTGGAGTTTAGATGCCATCTAATTTATTGTTTTCATTAATTTTGCTGCATATTTTTTGCAGCAATCACAGTTATGAAAGTTATTAAACAGTTATACTTTATTTCTAACTTGCTGTAGGCAAAAATACACATATGACACCTTTAGTCTGTTAAAGCAATTGTGTAGATAGTCTGAAGCCATATATTCAGATCAGTTCCATGTCAGTGTTGCTGCTGAACATGGGTACACAGAGTATTTAGTCTCATCCCTTTTTATGTTGAACTATCACTTAATTCAGTGCATAAATTAAGTTTCTGTGTTGAAAAAATATCCCCAAGGTTCTTGAATTGAGTGATGTACATCTGCTCAGGAATTACATCTTTAACTTGACTTGTAAAGAAAGCTACTACTCTATAAGGATTAACTTGCATGTATAGGTTGATACGTCTGCTCCTGCAGTTCTAGACAAAAGGCAGTTCTGAGTATTTTGCATTCAAAAAACGTGGTTGTAGAGTTTTTCATGTATCTGCTTGCAGGATGTGTTCTCTCAAAGTGTTCATTTTCAAAATACAGGTCTAGGCCATTTCAAAAAATGCTGATTCATTTGTGGATCTTTTGCAGTTTATTAAATGAAAATGAAAGATAAAATGAGAGAAACTCACATGGTTTCGAGCAGCTGTAACTGTACTTGCTCAAATACAGATGTGGAAAAAGGCCTTCAGTGAGACTACATTCTTTGAAGTAAAACAGCAGGTGATCAATAGCTATTAAAGACACCAATATCTCAATTCCAGCTATAAACACTGCAAAAAAGTGTGCTAGTATATCAAACCAGTTTTTCACACATTCTTCCTCTTGCAGGAAACCATTATGGGATTTAATAGAGTAATAATCTTTTGTTGTAATTTTAAATCAGTCTTGGAGTTCTGTAGTAGAAATATAACCCTCCATTAAATTCTAAATGTTTTGGGATAATTTCAACAACACGCTCTGGTATTTTCTAGAAACCTGTTTGGATTTAGTGTTTAAATTATCTGTAGAATTTAATTGTCAGGAGGATAATGTAGGCCATAAAACTTGGAAGGAAAAAAAAAATAAAAAGGCTTCATGGGGTTTGATGCAGAACATTTAGTTAAGGGCAATATGTGTGCCTTTCTCCTGGCTTCATATTAAACAAACTAACAAATTTGTTGGCCTATTTGCAATCTAAATCTTTTGTGGAATAAAGATATGAGCCACAGGGAGGTGCAAATGAAAGGGCACCTATTCCATCTGTTACTCAGCAACATTAACTCCTGGCAGTATCAGCTTTCCACAAGGGGAAATTGTCTCTAATCGAAGCTGATGTGTTTTCCAACTTGGTGCACCAGTGATGAATAACTGGAGTCACCTGATGGACTGGATGACCTCAGGAATGTTTTTTTTTCTTTTAAATTGAATAAGGTCAGAATCTTGTTGAGCAAGACTCATATAACCCCAACTGTATTGTTGGAACAATGTTCAAAGTAATTGCCCTGTGAGTTATGATAAGGTTCCCAAGCTCTTGGTCTGTGAGAGTTAACAAAAAGAAACCAACCTGTGAGAGAGGGTACGAACTTGGGTCTGTGGGATGGTTTTAATTAAGTGATTTCTGTTTTTCATCAGGTAATCCAGCCTTGATTGATTTATAAAATAAAAAAATTGACAAAACGTCCCAACTATCTTTTAGTAACTTTGTTTACTCATGTATATACTTACCTAAACATCTGTACCCGTAAAATGCTATGTAAAGCATCCTGACAGCACTGTGTCTTCAGGATGCAGCAAAGTGTGGAGAGGACAGAGGCCTAGGAAGGGAGCTGCCAGAGGGCAGAGGGCTTTGTGGAAGAATGGTAACTAAAAAGCTGATAAACAGAAAAGGCCAGGAGGGAATTTCTGGGGTTTTTTTTTTAGTGAGTAATCATGTTTTCATGCCTTTTTGTGATTATAATAACAGCACTACATTTTGAATAATTCTTATAAGAGCTGTACTGATTTAGAGCTTTTTGAACAGGGCATAAAGACAATCTGTTTTCTTTATGTGACTGGTTCTTACTATCCTTCACTTAGTTTGTAACTTGAAAATAAACCTATAATTTTTTCTCATGGCAGCGAGAATACTAGTTCTTATAGAAGAGTCCAGATTGTTGGTGTCTCCCCAGAGCTGCTATCATCTTTCACCAGTACTCTGGCAGTACTGGTATGCAGTAGCATTCTAGAGTCATGTATTACAGCTATCCCTTATGCCTCCATGAGACAAACAATCTCAATTAAGATTAATATTGAACAAGTACAAATTAACAGTAGATAGAAATAGAAATGGTATAATGATGCTCAGTGGTGACAAAAAGATGTCATGTGGTACATTGCTAGTAATTCTTGAGTGTTTTTCTCAAAAGAAATAAGAATCTGGTGGTTTTAAGTAAGGACTAATTTGTGCCCCTACGAAACGATAAATTACATGAATATGTAAAGCTAGACTTCTTTTTAAATCAATGTATTTCTTTTATTATGTAATCAAGATACTAAAATTAGTTTTTCTAGTGAGTGATGCAAGTAAAAATAGGCTGGTTTTGTTCTCAGAGGTATTCACAGCAGTGATATCCAGGATCTGTACGATTGATTTAGATAGTTTTTGCATGTATATGCATATTCTGGCTCTCAGTGATGTTAATCATGCACCAGTCTCAGCAGTCTGTCATGGTGAGGTTTCTTTAATAATTAAAGAACAAGAAAGAAAGAAAGAAAAATTTAAGGAGGAGGCACTGAGAAAAGGACAATGGAGGTGATGAAGGTCTGGACCCAACATGTGTAACCAACACCAAATCAGCTATCTTTATATCATTCATGACAGACATTTGTTGCATCTGTTCTTAAACATCCAGTAATGGAGATTTCTGCACAGTGCTTTGCATGTGGTCTGTTCTAGAGTTTTCTTAACCTTTTCATTAGGATGTTTTACTTTATGCCTCATTTAACTGGGTTTTTTCCTTTTTGGTTTTTTTCCCTTCAATTCCTGTTTTCTGTCCAGTATACCATATATTTAGAGACTAGATATTATTACTTTTTTAGCAGTAGACTTCCAGTGTTTTGATTGTTTCCAGAGATGGGGCATCTACCACTACTCTGGACAACCTGTTCCAGTGTTTACCACCCTCATCATAAAAAATGTCTTCCTTATATCTAGGCTGAATCTACCTGCTTTCAGTTTGAAAACATTACTCCTTCTGTTGTTACAGGTCCTGGTAAAAAGTCTGTCCCAAATTTGAGTATCATTTCCCTGATAAACCTTCACTTGTGAAGATAAAAGAAATCAGTTCATCTGATTTGTCATTTTTCCATTGTGTTCTCTTACCAAATCATTCTCCCTATTCTCCACTGAACTCTTTTCAATTTTTTTATTAAAGATGAGAAGTAACTATGAAGAATTGCAAAAGAATCTTACAGGGCTTCATGATTGAGCAAAAAATTAGCAGATGAAAATCAGTGTAGACAACTCCTAAGTGAAGTACACTGGGGAAAAAGAAAACTCTGAGTTCACATACAAAATAATTGACTGTGAGGTTGCTGTTCCATTTCATTTTCAAGACCTCAGGATGTGACACAAAACATCTACTCAGTTCTCAGTAGTTATTAGTAAAGCAGAAGTTGTAATGGTTTGGGCAGAGATAGATGACCAAGTAGAAATCATGCTGTCATGACCCTGCATTTTAAACTATTTGATGTTCTTATCCCTTCCATAAGGACATAGCATAATGAAAAAGGTTCAGAGAAGGTCAGTAAAAAATTCTCAGTGGTTGGGAATGGTTTATAGACAGAACAGACAGACAGACAAAATCTGAGATTGGTCAGCTTCATGAGTGAAGGAGGATATGACAGACTTCTAAAGAACATGTGTCATGGGTAGGGACTGGCCATTGTCTTCACAAGTGCAGAACTAAAGACATCAAATGAAACTGTCAGATTAAAACCAAATAAAAATAGTGGAAAACTGCAGAGGGACTTGTTACAAGGGCGTATGGTGTCAGTTAGGACAAGGGGTAGAGGTTCTAAAATGAAAGTGAGTGGGCTTAGGTTGATTCTTTAATTTAGAAAAAAATGTAGAAATTAGGTTTAGAAGTAATTCTTTACTGTCAGGGTGGTGAGGCTCTGGAACGGGTTGCCCATAGTAGCTGTGGATGCTGCATCCCTAGATGTGTTCATGGACAGGTTGGATGGGAGTTTGAGCAACCTGGTCTAGTGGAAGGTGTCCCTGCCCATGGCAGGGGGTTGGAACTAGGTCATCCTTAAGATTCTACCAACCCAAACCATTCCATGATCCCTGGCATAACAAGCTAAGATTGTGCCAAAGATGTGGATCTCCTTTCATAAGAAGGTTAGTAATGTGAATTTATTAATGGATTCAAGATGAGAAGAGAAAGAAGGGAATCACTGAAATTGATTAAATATATACTTGCTGCTGAACAGAGGAAGTATAGAATGAATAATTATTGAATTCTGGAGGAGTTTCTGGGAAAAAACATGTTTGTCATGCTTTATAGTCATGTGTCTTTGCAGTTGTCAGAGACAAGCTTACTGAGCTAGATGTAGCTCTAGTGAAATAATTTTATATTCTACCTTCAGTTTTAAAGGTATTCGAGTTATTTTGCTCTATCTTTACAACTATTTTTTGTTCCTACAAAAAATGTAAGGACACCGTACTTTTTTATTTGTGGCACGTGTTGATTTCCATAAGCTCTGAGGACTTACCTGTATTTAACTAGACAGCCTTTTTTATCTTCTTTTTGATCCCATAGCAATGAATTATTACCTTCTCAATTACCTGGGTACCCAATTTCAGTCAAATGAAAGGTCTAGTCTTATTGTACTTATTGAACCAATGATTATACCTCTTTTACATTCTTGTGAATCTGGCACTGCGGCTCTGTTAGGAATATAAATTATCTTTCATGTTTCACATCAAGATCTCACTGTAAGAATTCTGAGATTATAGATTTTTGTTCTGTTATCTTGTCCTGAATTCAGGTAGTACAGAAAGAGAAATAAATGGAGGGAAGTGAAGTAGTAGTTTCCATATCCTTTAAAATAATAGAAAACATAGTATTCTTTGTGATGACTAATAAAACTGCACTTTAAAAACTATACCTCATAATTTAAAACCAAATTTTACTAAGTTCTTTGCTATCTCTAAACTAGTTTGTTTTTTTCACAGTCATGTGTATGAACATTTTACATGTTTTCTTCACTTCCTTCTTACTGGATGAGTCAGTGAGACAAAAGTACCTTCATTATTGTTTTTAAAAGGATCAGTTTAGGCACAGAGAGACCAGCGTTTCTAGTTGACCCTGCTATAAGGTAGGGTATTGGACTAAACAGTCTTGGGAGGTTCCTGCCCACTTGATTTATTTTTTTGTGATTCTTTGATTATAAAGGAAGATCAGGGCCTGCATTTTTCTTTGCAGTCCTTATTTAGTGCCTCAGTTTAGGCAATTTTTGTAGTTTTGTAGCTATTCATTGGAAATAACTTGTAATGTTTGTTCAGAAGTTCATAGAAAATAAGTGGCATTTTAGAAAAGAACTGTGTCCATGATTTCTACAATGAATGGTGAAAAAAATCAAAACAATAGAAACAAGATGCATTTGGATTGTTTTAAACCTTAAATGTTATTTTTTATGAATGTCTTTTATATTAGGAAGATGTGACAAGTGGAAATATTTTTGTTTCTTTTCTGCATATTTCTCTAAATTGAGAATTAATGTACTACTTTAACATGTTCCCCACCTTAAGAGACAATAGTTCTTTTGGGAGATGCAATTTATTTATTAATTAATTGTAGTCAATAGTTATATTCCTCTAGAAAGTTCAGAAAATTCCCTAATTTGTGTTGGAATAAATGAAGCAAAACTTGTTTTTCTTTCCCAGGGTGCGAGAGTACAAAACACAGCCAAGAATTTAGGAGTGAGGGATCGAACACCACAGTCTGTGCCAAGGTAACTGAGTCTTTGTATTCTAGACCATGTTTTTTTCTAGTTTGTGCCACATTCAGTCCTAGCTGCTCAAAAGCTAGCAGTAAACATTGACTATATTGTGCTGTAACTGTAAAATTTGGCTTAAGGTACATAAAACCAATTGTGTTCTTAGCCCTACAGTTTTACCTCAGGTAATTAGTTGCAGAAGTTCAGACTATGCAGCACTTCAAAACATGCCCATTTTTGAAAAATGAAATCTAGTTCATGTTAGTTATGAAAACACTGGACTAAGTCCTTCATCGCTTGTAATGCTTAGTGGTTTTGGGGAAATACTCATAACTAAATCCATAACCCCATTTTAATGAAATACTGTAACACAGTATCTCAGCAAAATCATGTTCTAGTTATGTTTAGAGATGATGTAGTCTTTCTTTGTCTCTTTCTGAAACATCCATTAGAATGAAAAATGGACTGTTCTATATTTATCCAGCATTTTAATGCTGTGATGGATTGCAGGGACCTGCAATGTTTCTTAAAAAGCACATCACTTATAAATGAAAATAACCAAACATCTTAGTTATTAAGATCTTAATTTAATCCTAAAGTTTGGTTCTAGTAATCCAGTACTAATTTAAACTGGTTTTTACGAATTTAAAACATAACATTTTTTGTTGGCTAATGATAACACATTGAATGCTTAACAGAGTAAACAGATCTGTGAAATACATAACAGACCCACTGTGGGGTTTAAATTTCAGTAAGGAAACAGGGAATTAACTAAACCTGATAGAGGTAACCATGTGAATGAACACAAATTATATCCATAGCCTACTGTGCTCTGAGCACTGATAATCAGGAACTTGATTTTACACAGTTTGCTCCCCTTTGCTCAGTTGTCCCTGTTTCTCTCAGTAGGGAATCAGGCTACTGCTCATAACTTGTTTGCAACAGATCACCACACATTGTTCCATGCCTGTGCTCACTCTGAGTCTAGAAAAGGAGTGTAGCTTGAGTGTACAAGGTGCGAGTAAATCTGAGTAGCAGCTACTGTTCAGTTGCTTACTGGCAGCATTTGTTGGAGCATATCTGCATTTTGCATGCCCCATAAAGGCGATGAAGTATCATCCAACAAAAGTACTGATTCTAGAGTAAATCCATCAGCAGTGTAGTCACTGCCCTTAGCAGCAGATGAGGGCATCCCTTTTCACTGTAGTGATTAGTTTAGAGGCAGTGCAGGTCCAAAATTCCCTGACCAACTGTCTTGCATTGAGGGAACCTATGACAGTAAAATAACATTTTATTACATTAAAAGCTGTGAGAAGCCTTTTCATATTTTGAACAGTATGGTTTGGGCCTTAAATGGAGTCCTCCTTCCTGACATAAATATGGGGACAACCAAAGAATTGTTGCAAACCAAACTTTACCCACCCCTACATGACAGAGCTCTTGTGATAAAGGAAAAATCTACGTTCCTGAAAAGAAAAACTTAGCATGAGACATTTTTCGGCTTTGCATCAGTTGAGAAAAGATCACCTCTTTCCAGCTGAAACTCCCACAATATGGCATTGAAAAGCTGAAGAAAAATAATGAGATAGCTCCTAGAACATAGTATAGACAGATGCAGCCTGCACCCTTGCCAATCAGCAGCAACACCAATGTCACAGGAATATCCCAGACCTCAGTGTTCGGGGCATTTGGTGTAACAATGAATGCATAAGTCAGAATAGTCATCAGCAAGAGTGATACTTTTGATGTATAGCTAAATGATACTATGGGTTCTTAGTTCTCTGCTTGGAAAACAATTTTACGTTTGGTTTCATTTGACATCGCTTGATAGAGTTTTCTGTTCTCTGCAGCTGCCAGTGTTTCCCTGTTTTCTCAGCTGATCTGTTTGTACCATCTCAAATAGTTGTTCCATGTATATTGACCCTGTTTCTATTCTATAGCATCTTCAGCAACTTTAGATCCTTAGGGATTTATGCAACCTTACTGTTAGTTTGCTTCAGAATCCCCCTACATCACTTGCTCTGAAGACAGTCTTAATGATTACCACTTTAACCTGAAGAATACACAGACTTGGAGCTGAGGTTTGATTTTGCTAAAACATCAAGTATTAACCCCACTGCAATTATTTATATAAGATTCTGACTGAAATTTTATCTGCCTTCTGCCAGATTTGAATATTACTACTTTATTATACCAGGAGAATCAAATAACCCCTGTTTATTCTTCTCTGCATATTTGTCTGTATAAAAATCAGACCACCTTATTCTCTCATTGGTATAAAAATATAATATATATGTGTATGGCCTTATATATGACTCCTAACAAATACTTTGGTGTCTGCACAATGTCTTAAATGATTGGGTTTCTGAATCTGCCATATGACCATGTGGAAGAGCCCAGTGACCTTCAGAACACATTATGGTGAAGATTGAAAAGAAGGTTTCCACTTTCTGTTTTTCAGTTCTGACAAAACTGATTCTCCACATTCTTACCATCCAAAAACAATACTGCTTGATAATCATTTCCAGGGAGGTTCAGAGAAGAGTTATTTAGCCCATGGACATTCTGTGTTTTTAGTGTCCCGTGGGTTTTAACTCCTAGAGGAACTGAAATTGGAGAACAGCAGCTATCCTGCCCTGCTCTTGCATAGCCACAGGATGCTGTTTCTGACAAGATGTGCCTGGAGGTTGCAGAGGCTCTGAACGCTCATGGAGGAAGCCTTACATACTCACCTCACATCATTTCAGTAGCAGAATCATGTACTCATAGAATCAACCGGGTTGGAAAAGACCTTCAAGATCATCAGCTCCAGCCCTTGATCCAACACTGCCGTGGTTACTAAGCACGAAGTGCCACACCCGGTCTCGTCTTAAAAACCTCCAGGGACGGTGAATCCACCACCTCCCTGGGCAGCCCATTCCAATGTCTGATTACCCTCTCTGTAAAAATTTTTTTCCTAATATTCTATCTAAACCTCCCCTGGCACAGCTTAAGACCGTGCCCTCTTGAGTATCATGCCAAGAGGTCACCAGCCCATTGATCTTGAATTGTTTGTGGTGTCCCAGCCACATGTTCAGATTTTTCTTTTCTGTGTTGATTTGTAGTATAATTTTGAAAATTTTGATGAGTTAAAATGGAGTCATATAAATGAGCACGATGTTTAGCAGGCCAGTTTGCAAAATATCCGGGTCATACTCAGATACCCTGAGTATCTTAAGTATCCCAAGCCCCCAGGTCACTGGATGATTCACCACCCTACCTGTAGCCAGACCTACCAAACCTGCTATTTCTATTATTTTGATACTTCAGCATCAGAGTACAGAACAGAGGGTTTCAGGTCAGAGTGATTGCCTTTTATTTTCAGTATTTTTAACATTAGGGTAAAGTTTCAAACACTTTCTAATAAGCAAGTCCTGGCAAAAGGATTTAAGAGAAGCCCAAAAGACTTTATAAAAGGAGAGACTATTTCAGTCTATACTAAGGTAGTCACTTGAACCAAATCTTACTGGTCTTGGCATCATCCATGTGGAAACGAGAGGGAGTTTAAAATTCTCATGCTGGTGTGTCACATGTCTGACATCTGTCTTAGGTTTTTCAAACAGCATCAATTCTTTGGGGAACTGTTCTTAGAGTGGGGTTTAACTGTGCCAAGACAAAACAGAAATGGAGGCAGTTGCATTCACCAAGCAGCTTTTCCAATTTGGAAATTCAGGGCAACAACTGGTAATTGGATTAGCAAAAGGATCTTCACTAAAGAAACATGAAAAATTGACTTTACTGAAATGTGTAGATGTGTATTTTAATGATTTGATTTTCAGTGTAAACATTAAGGCTCACAAAGAAGATTTTACTAGCTTTGCATTGATGGAATTAAACTGAATTCAGTACCTCTTGTTTTGCAGTGCAGGAAGACATAGATTTAGTTTGTATTCCTTAAATTTCCTCATATTAATAATGAACAAGTTCTCAGAATAACAATTACTTTTGGTTTTGTCATTTTCAGATTATACAAACTATGCCAGCCACCACCACCTGTTGGAGAAGAATGAGGAGAACTGCTCCAGGAAACAATCCAATAATGGCCTTTAGGATACTGGGACTGTATGACAAAAATCCAACTGTGCTAGAGCAGTATGTCCCGAGGGCTTTGATAAATAAATAAAAAAAAAGAAAACCAACCTTTTACTCAGGATAAAGAAAGAAATACCCTAAATGTTCTCTATTGGCATTGAAGAATGTCTTCCAAAAAACATTTCTGAAATCTGTGTACTCCAGCCTTACACTAGTAGATCAGTAATCTTCCTTGGGAATTTTACACTGGAATCAGATTAATTTGATGTATCTTGTTCAGCCACATTACAGGTATAGCCAGCAGCTTGAAAACAAATGTCTTTTTCAGAGGGAATGTCTTCACTTGTACACTATACAGAATGCATTCTTGTAGCAGGAATAAAAGCCTACGTAAACTAGGCTTGATAATGAGCATGCACTTCATATTGGGCCCTTTGCACTTGATAAAGGTTTTTTCCTATCGCTGTCCTGATTTCTCAGAACGTTCATGTTACTGTTTCAAGGATATAATGTGAGGTTTAAAGATGGAAAACTCGTCTCAGAACTGTGTTTAATGGCTGCAGGCAGACTACTGCTATGAACGTGTGCTTGTAATCAGTAAGCTCAGCCTTGTCTGAAGCAGTGCATTGTCACACTGGAAGGAGAACCTATACCGCATTAGAAGGAGTACCTATATAGCATGTGAGGTGAAGTTCTGCCCTGTTTTAGTTGCCATTATAGTGAAGGAAAAGAATAAGTCTGACCTTCACCCACTGTTAGGCTGAATTTCAGACTTTGTCTAGTGGATGTTTCACATTTTTACGTCTCTGCATTTCAGAGTTTTCCAGATTTGTGTATAATCTTCTATAGCACTACACCAGCAAATTTACATAAGGCAGGGATGAGTCAGTTTTGTTATGTTTAACTGGATATGTCTGTGGTTTAAGTTGAAGCATAGTTCGAGGTTTTGATATTTTATGCTACCGTTTCCCATATTTTGTCAGAATTGTTTTGTAAAGCATTTCAATTCTTTGGTGTGGTAGTTATAAATTTATTTTGAATTTGTACTACCTGTTTAGAGGTCCCAGGGAAAATTTATCTGCATTTGGCTGTTCTTTTGGCCAAAGAATTTTCAGAGAAAATGCCCCAAAATGAGGTTTGAAATGTGAACACATTAGAAGAAAAACTGTATTCTGAAATAGCTCTACATGTAGCAGTAGCTACACATTCCGTAAGAGCAAGACACATACTGTATGAATAAAAATTATTTTTTGTACAACAGAGGTCTATAGTTATGCTGTAACAATCGCACTTCGCAACATAATTATTGCATATGGTCTAATTACTTATGAAGTCTTCAACAAATATATTAATCCACAGTTAAATAAGCGAGAACTCAAAAGGATCTGTATTCTTGCAGCGAGAGAGGTTTTTATACGGGACATTTAGGGAACTTGTTACTTTTCTCCAAAGGAGGAATTAGAGCCCCTAGTTTTTTCAGTATTATAAATGTTTTTACACAAACTTTAACTTTGCTAAGAAAATAAATATTTTTATATATCCACAGCTATATATGTTAGCACATATATGTGTGCATTTCAATATGTGTATATTTATGTAGTCATATCAGTACTGGTTCTACCTTAAATATAGAATGTTTGCCTTAAACTGTGACAAAGACATGCAGTAATGAACACTCCAGTAACAACTTCAACTTTGTCCTTTGAAGTTTACTCTCTTTCACAGTTATTGGAAGCTATTGGACCATAATCTTTTTAATTAAAAAAACATAATACACAAAACATTACATTTTTTGTTCAGCATGATCTAATGCTTGTACATAGAAGAAAGAGTCATGTTTTCTATAGGTGCTGTTCTAGTCAGAATCTTGTATTTGAGATGTGGTTTATTCAGAGCAGCAGTATTGGCCGGGGTTATTCCTGCTCCAGGCAAAACCACCAGTAATGTTTCAGTTTCTGCTTGTTCAGACATCAGAAGCACAGAGAAGCCGTAAGTGCCTCATGCCAAGGGTGTGCCGGTGTCAGCCCAGTTGGGAGCGCCCATCTTCCTGTGAGGCTTGCCCATGTGAGGTTGGATTTGCCATGAGGGAGGTCAGCTGTCAGCTACATGGAGCTGCTAATCCTATGTAACAGAAAATAACCTAGAGAACAGAATCTGTTGCATACATATGCATTATTGTAACTAGTCATCACTTTTTTATAAAGCATTGAAAATTATAGGACTGCAAATATTCCAAAATAGTCTCCCCTTTATAATATGATAATCCCCTATTTTGTTTTTTTGTGGAAAGCATGGGACAAATAGTTATGAACCAGTCCCTGGACCAGATTCTTAAGCTCTTGTTTCATGAGTGTGCATCAGAAATCTTGACCTCTTGTTTTTGTATCTAATTTTTGGTTCTTTATTTGTTTTTGCCCCTTCTAGAGACAGTTTTCAAAATATTGAGCATTAGGAGCTTTACTGGTGACCTGTACTGCAAAGTATCTATTTAGTATGTTATTGAGGAGCTGAGAAACTGAAGTCCTGGTTTTCTAGGATTACACATAGTGCATAAAAATATGGTTTCACAGAATTACACAGAATCACAGAATCAGTAAGGTTGGAAAAGACCTCTGAGATCATTGAATCCAACCTACTTGCAGAGGAAATGGGGCATAAATGTCCCAGTGGCTGTCTAATAAGAGTGCCTGGTTTCTCAAAATATTCTTCAAAAGCCCGTATTTGCTTGAAACATTGTGCAGCTTTCCAAACTGCTTTTCTTGTCCCTCTGTTTTCAGAGCACACTGCACATTCTAACACACTGACTTCTAATAACATTATTTGGACCTTTAATAAGCCCATTCTTAAATTATAAATTCACATATACTCATTGTTAAAGCTATTTATCTTGTTTGGGATATGTATTTGTTCCTTATACAAGGTGCACTTGCAGAGTAAAAAAAGAAATCCATTCTCATCACAGTATGTTTATTCTCTCATAAATTTTTAAACTTCAGGTGACAAGAAGAGATGACCAAGAGTGATGATTTACAAGGAGTGTATCACCTACTGCTTCTTAAATCTTTGCTTTGACAGAAACAGGTTATGCAGCCTGTTTTTATAACAATGTGCTGTACTGTTTTAGGGAAAGCATTCTGTATGTAATTTCTACTTTTTCTTCCAAGGCAATTGTAATTCTTCCAGGAATAAATTGAAGGATCTGGAGGCATACATTACCAAATACTACCATGATTCAGTGCTAGTCTGTGGGGGAAGTATAGAAGATTTAACAACTGGGAAGAGAGGGTTACAGGCCAAGGAACAGTTGAGTTACCATAGAGTTCTTGTTTTTTGGACTGGTTTATATTTGTTTATTTTAACGAAGTCAATAGTAGTCAGAACTTCTACTGGTTTAGAGCCAAAACAATTAAACTTTACTCAACAAGGATTTATAGTAATCATATTCAATTTCATTTGTTGGAATCCTTTAATGAAAAAAAAAAGAACCATTTTTATTGATCTGCTTTTACCCAGAGAAATTCACAAGCAAAACATGTTTTATTAATTCATTGTCAGATGTAGTGTGTATATATAAATATATAAATATGTATTTAAGACAATTGCCTGAATGTGAGTATACATATCATGGTTAAGCATGATGCTCAAAAAAGTACAGTGTCTTTCATTTATTTTCATCAGTAACTGTAGTATATATATACATATCGTTCCATACTCTTTATTTTACAGCTCCTTCATGGATATGTCTGCCAGCATTTTACGCATATTTTGCACCATTTCTGTTTAATATTATGAAAAGAGCTAATGCATTGCCTTAAGTATTTTATCTCTGTACTTGTTGATAAATGCAGGTAGTGCTTTTCTAATTGTACTCCAACAGTACCCTGGCATTGATAAATTAGATGTGCAGCATATACCTGACTCAGGATACCTGGATTTTTCAGCAATAGGTTTTGAAGTATAAAAAGATACTGCACTCATATTTTTGTATGCTGACAATTGTGTAAGGATTTTTTTTATGTACTGTATATATAAATCAAGTTTTCCTAAAGAAGATTTATTATTTTGAATGTTTCCCATTTCCTGCTAGAAGATGTGGGTTTATGTTTTTTGTTCTGTAAGTATAAATGAACATGCAGCATCCACAGTCATGTAGATGTTAACACCGTCGAGAAATTTCTGACTGTCCAGAGGCTAATGAAGTTTTTTTTTTCTTATATTCTTCTCCAAAAATAACATCTCCATGTTAGAAATCTACTTTAGAAGTAACTACTTCTTCAGTTTAAAGTCTGACTGAGTGTTCAAAGTAGCTGGGACATTTATGCAAGCACTTAGCTTTGGACTTTCAGGGGAATATCCATGACATCTTCTATGGGTGTGTGGGTCCGATCTGTAGTACCTTACGCCAGATTTAAAAGACTAAGCAGCCTTATTAACTCCTTAACACCCTGTATATAGTGTATGTATTTGGTTATACTTGTGTTACACTTTAAAAATGAACTTAATTTCTGCATTGAGTATTGCACACATTTTTCAAATGAAGAATATATTTTGTAACGTCTCATTAAGCACAAGAGAGCATTACTGCTTTGAAACATTGTGTGTAAGTACAGCCATACACAGAATGTCTCAGTCAGCTTTTGTTTGAAAACAATCAAACTAGCAGCTCTGTGGGTAGTTGAGTTTGTTAGAAGTAACCTTTGGAATTAAATAACCTTGAAACACGGATTTAAGTTACGTTTTTCTTACTTGTAAAGTGCCTCTGTAGCATACTTTGAATCAGTTGCTATATTGATTATGGGTAAAACTAATACTGTGTACTTTTAGATCTATGGTTTATTTTTTTAGTTACATAGGCAAGACTGGAACAGTAACAATGTATTACAAAAATGCCCGACAGAAATAAAACCATTCATAATATGGCCACTGCAAATCTCTTTATTTGTAAGCAAGAAATAAGTTGGGAGGGAGGGTGTTGGGGGTGTTAAGTGCTGTATGGCTGCCCTAAAACTCTGCTGCAGGAGAAGAGAAGTTAAACTTCTAGAAATAAATGTTTATAATAAGAATCTCTTCTGAGAACCCTGGCCAATCAAGGTTTATTGCTTGTAATTAAAATACATCTTTGTAACCAGTGGAAAACTGAACCCTGTATAAGCAGTAGTCTGTGGCTGTAGGAAGCTCTATTTCGTGAAAGTTGGAGGAGACACAGGCATGAAAACCACTTTCTGGCCCCATGGTGCCATTAGTGCCCCACGAAGCTCCAAAACATCCACCATTTCTGGAATTTCCTTATCTGAAGATAGAAAGTGTGAAGCTGTCATCATCTGTTTACTGCTGTGCAAAAGCCTATCTGACAAGCATAATGTGGAGTGTTCTACTCCTTGTGCTAAAAAAACACCTATAAATGACTGGTCCTTCAGAGGGATTGGGAACTGTGGGGATGCCAGGGGTTTGAGGAGTTGCATTGAGTGTTTCTTTTATAGGACTGAAAGCTGATTAAATATTGGACCGTGATGAGAGTTGTCTCTATATGGAGGAAATTATGATTTCTACATAGTGATTGTGGTAAAGACTGATAGGAGACAGGACCAAACTCAACTACAATTACTTTGTAAAATCCATGTTTTCCATCTGCTACCAAGGAGGAGGGTGAGGATGCAAGTATTTCTCAATAACTAGACTTGAAAGATAGATTTTTTTTTTTTCTTCTATATATTCCTCTCCCTAGCTTTGGGAAGGAAGGCATGACATTTCAAAGTGTTGAGCAGCAGAAGTGACCAGAGGATTTCAAATATGGACTGGTTTTCTACCGTCACAAGTGAGGTTTCTTTTTTCAGTTCTCCTCATCTCTGCCATGAATACATCAGAAATAAAGTCCAGAGAATTCTTTTGTCAATTGATGAACCCAGTGGGAATAGATAGCGCTTTGAAACAACTACTGAGAAAGATAATCAACTGCACAATGGTAGCCCTTGGGTGTCCAGTAATTTTGCATCTTTCATGTGAAAGTGTTGATATCATCATGATTTGAAAGTGAAAGAGCCTGCAAAGGGTCTTAAGTATACTTACACGTCAGAGGTCAAATGAGTCTACAATTCAAAGTAGATAATATATCTTTGCCTTACATCAAAGTATGTGTCTGCTAAACTTCGAAAGTAAAGACACTTCCTTTTAAATGTTACTCATAAATTTAGTGTGTATTTGAATGGATTGGTTTTTTTTTTTTTATAGCTCATTATGTCATGCAGAAACAGAATAGATGATGCTCATACTTGGCTTATACTAATGAAGTGGAATTGCAAACAGTTACTTCATTTTTGCTTGTAGAAATCTTAATTTTCTGAAACTGCTTTCCTACATATTAGTTGATTCCCCTCCTCCCCCCCTTCATTTCTGTATACATTTTCCTCTGGAACTGCTGGGGTTCTGAGGACACTAAAAGGCCCTATTAGACCCAACCAGCCTTATCCCTGCACCCACTGGTCATGGATTTGGAGCAGCATTTCTGCTCAGGCTTGGGAAGCTACTGTCTCCAGCCACATCTCCGGGGTGGACCTTGAAACTTGGGCTGTGGGTGGCTTTGTCCCTGGCTGCAGCTTCTGCTGTTTGTGATCGGATTTTCTGGATGGACCCTGCACCTACTTCAAAATTTTGCCTTGTCACATCATCCCTGGACTGTCAGCAGAGCCTGTTTTTTACTTTGTCCTGTCAAGGGGAGGCCACTGGACTGTGTTCACCCACAGGTCCCAGCTTGTCCTCCTTCAGGGAGTGGACCTGTTCTTGCTGCTCTCCAAGAGGAGCATCCAGTGCTGGTGCAGGTTTTTCCATGTCTGACATACTACTGGCTTCTGTTGTGTTAGCGCAAATCAGTGAATTAAATGAATGGGGTAGATGGAGGGGATGGGAAAATGCCCATTTCCAGTCACAACATGGGTGGGAGGCTTCTTCTATTGATATTAATCCTCAGACTAAGGGTAGAATACAAAAATGTGTATATCCTTAAATTGGCAGAAAGATTTAAAATGCATCTCCAGAATGTGAAAAGGAATAGAGAGTGGGGAGAAGATACTGGGTATTTAGGAGTGCAAGATAAGACAATTGCTGAGCAGTATACATAAAGCAATAAAATACCCTGAAGATCTGACCTCAGTTTTTCCAAGTATTTAACAGTTGATATGTTATCAAACAACTGAATCTTTTATAGAAGACTCAGTATAAATTCTAATAAATTTAACTTACATCTAGAACTTTTTTTAAAGCTCTAGGGCTTAGCTAGTCATGTTGTGTTCTTCTTATTTCTAGTTCTTTATCAAGGCAGGAGGGATTTTAATATCTGGAATAAATAATTGGTGTCTTTCCTTGTGAAGGATAACAGCCTCTAAAAGTAGGAGGAAATTGTACTGGATATATTCTGGGAGCATAATCAAATGAACACCAATTGGTTTTGATTCTGCTTTCATTTAAATGAATAACCAAATTTTCATTGACTGCAGAGAATGAATCCATAATACTGGCACTATTATGCCAGAACCAGACTAGCCTGAATGCTTGTCAACGTGTTTAGTTCACCTAATTAATGAAACTATTCATGTCTCAAGACAGAAAGCTTGACTGGAAATGAGAAGCAGACCACATGTAATCAATGAGGTTTTGTCATCAACCAGTCGTAGAGTCTAATCAAACCAATACAGGACATGACTGCAAGCAAATGAACATCAGCACTGTATTATCTACAGTCAGTGCATCATCACAAAACGTAATGACAAAACATCCCCCAGATTAAGACGGAAATAATGTCTGATGCTAATCAGTGCTACTTGCTCATATTGCAATACATTTCAAAATATGTTGAGTGACAGTTGAATTCAAAGTCAAGACAAAGTGAAGCTTGACTGAATGCTTTGCAATATATTTGATGTTGTTCCAAAATAGGAAAATGCATAAAGCTTTTATGTATTAAGAAGTTGGGTAGGTGTTTGGAATTTTGACAGCACACCCTGAAAAATTAGTAGCTTGGGAAACATAGGGAAATAATTACAGTCGTGGCAATTTTAAAGGACATTTGTGGGCCTGTTACACACAGAGCAGACAGCAGGCTTTCATTTCTGGAATAGTTCCCATGACTTTGAGAGAAGGCATTAATATTTGAAACTGTAGCATGGGAATAAACTACATTATCTGAGTATTCATCACACAATAGTCGTGAGGAAAAAGTCTTAAGCCTTATCTTTAAAGAAACACAAGTTCCCTACCTAATCATAGTTCTTAATTTTATATCTATTGTGAGAAATAATCAATGTCTCTCTACTGTCCTCAGTAACAAAACAATGTATTAAATGGGATGTGAAGAAATTTTCCTCTATATTTTTCTCTTTCATTTAATAAACTCATTTATTCTGCCAGGTGAGGAACAGTAGAAGTAAGCATTCCAGTCACATTGATGTTATGACAGGATTGTGGGCTTGCTGTGCCTTTAACACCTCTCTTGAAGGCTACAGTCTACTTGAAGCTTCCCGAAGGAGCCCTTTTCGTGGTGGTGAGCAGGCAAAGAGAGGACTCTGAAGGTGGAGGAGTGAAGTGTTTTCTGTTGAAATCGCAGTAAAAATGCACCCTATATACATTAGTGTTCTGTGTTCTAAGTTCTGTGATCTAAATGACCTTATAACAAAAAAATTCAGTTCAATAACAAAAGTAGAATATGAGCCTTACAAATGATCTTTCATATTTCTGACGGCTAGAAAAACAGGAGACAGATATTCTGTACCAATTAGAATAAAAGTGGGACAGTGCTTATATTGTGTTTTAGAATGAAAAGTGTAATAAAAAACTAGAAATTCCTACTTTCTCCCTAGGTATTCTCAATATTTAATTTTGATTTAGGCCACATTAGATCAAAAGAATGGGGACATATCCCTCATTATAATCAGGATTTCAGTAAATTTCAAAGCAGTTAAAAATTTTCTCCAAGTAAATAGAAAATTTGATATAAAATGAGGAACTCATTGTACTGTTCTTCTACTCTCTGAGTTCCATTTTCCTGTTTCCAATGTTTCCTGTGAACCTTCCTTAGAACAGACTCAGTGGGGAAACCAAAGAATAAATCAGCATGGAAAATGGACTCTGCTCATGTTCAAGGGAAACAAAATCATGGATGCTGAAGGCTTTTCGAATGTGCTGAGCAACAACTATTTTCTGTTTCATTCAGAATTTGTCTGATGTGGGTCACAGAGCAGAGCTGTTGGTGAAGTGCAGAAATACAGGCTCTGCCAGATTATTTCAAAATTGTGATATGTGGAAGCAGGTCTGCTTTGAATAAGATGGGGTGAAATAGAAGAAATGCAACTCCCCTTTCCCCTTCTTGTGAAATTTGCTGCTTGCATCACATGCAGGACTGTTCAACTGTGCTGCAGATAGAAAATGAGACTTTTTGTCAACCTGGATGTTAACAGTCTGTCTACTGAAAAATAATCTGCTCTCTGCATCCTGCAATGAGAGTTGTATAGGATTTCAGCTGCTGCAGAGCAGCATGGAGGTGTGGGAGGACAGACCAGGGGAGATGTTGAGGTCCTTCTGCCTTGCACTGGTTAGTCCAGTGCATCTTGTACAGCTACAGCAGGAAAGATACAGAGTTACTCCTTTCCTAGAGCACAGTGAGGCCACAGGTGTGCAGTCCAAGGGTAAGCATCTTCTAATGTTTTCAGGAAGAGGAGAATAAGTTGTTTAGTTTGAACTACAAACTTTCTATTGCCAGGACAGAACCTCTAAGAATATTTTCATATCCTCATCTGTGCTAGAAGTTATAAATGTATGTGCTTTGGATCAGGTCAGCTTTGTTTTCAGATTCCAGAGTCACTTAGATGAGAGTTAGGCTTAGGCTATAATCTATTTGCCTTTTAGACCTAGGTGTACCCAGAGCAGAGTTATAG